CCCAGGCAGGGGGGAGGTGGCAGCTCCAACTCCACTGCAGGTCCCACCTGGACGGGCCCGGTGTCCACACCGGTGCCTTCCCCTCACCTGCCAGCAGCCACACCCCTCCCCGCTCTGTTCCTCCCGCTCCGTTTCCCACCCCATGAAGCCTGGGTCCCAGCGGCGCCTACATGGCCCGGGGCTGGGAGGGCCCGAGGGACACGTGCGCTGGGTGCCCGCCTGGCCCGATGAATGGTTTTAAAGCCGCACAGTCTACAGACTGACGTCTTCTGGCCCAATTACAGCCCAGAAACGGCCAGAGGATGCAGTTTCACTCGGAGATTTCTCTTAGCTCATCTGGTCCAGTTACACTCTCCCGAGCGGACCTGCAGCCCTGAGACTGACCCCTGCACCCACAGGCTCGGCCAGAGCCTCTGCATTTGGACCGGATGAGCCAGGAAGCTCCGCGTGGAGTCTGTCCTCTCGGCCCGTGAAGGGCACAGCCGCGCCCACCTGTGTACTCTGTCCCCGAGGCCACCGAGGACGTGGTGGACGCGTTCTCCCAGTCCTTCTCTCCGTTCCGACTGCCGCAGCGGCTCGGGGACAGGAAGCCCTCCACGGACTCCGACCTGAAGCAAGGACCACATGGTTACGTCTCGACACAAAGAGGGCGTGGGCCAGAGGGACCCGTGAGCGCGCCACCGCCACCCAGCGACTGAGAGCACATGCGCTGGGCCTGCCTCCCAGGCCCCGGCAGAGCACCCGTGGGCACCACCGAGGGAGTGAACGGCTCCCTGTGGAAACGCCACTCACAACAGGATGGCTACACCGAGGCTGACGGCACGAGGCCTGCTACTCTGGGGGTTGGAAATAAGGTGACGGGGAGAGGGCAGTAGGGAGCCCTGTGCCCTCGGCAGCTACTCTGGGGGTTGAGAATAAGGTGACGGGGAGAGGGCAGTGGGAGCTGTGCCCTCGGCAGCTGCTCTGGGCCGACCCCGCGGGGACACTTTGTGTTTGGCAGGAAACAGCTCGAGGCTGGCGCCTTTTGGTTCCACTGCCCGTGGCTTTGCCACGACCCCGTCAGCGATCACTGCTGACGTCTGTAGCTTGTAGAAGTGTCTTATCAATGTCACTAGTTCTAGGCTCTGTTCGCTGAAAGGTGAACAGACCCTCTGTACACACATCCTAACCGCTCTATCCTAGCGAGCAAAGCCTGAGAGCTAACGGCCAGGACGACTTCATCCTGAGAGAGGGGAGCCCTCCCTCGGACAGTCGGACGGATGGACAGACAGACAGACAGACGGGTAGATTACCTGGGCGTCCTCTTGCCGGACTGCACGCTCTCGCTGTCGCCCGTGGTCAGTGACGCCAGGGAGAGGCTAGAGACTGAAAGACACAATGAAGTTGTGACCTGAGTGAGAGCAGCCGCTCTCCCAGCAGCAGGAGGCGTCTGCTCGCTCGCTCGCCCTTGCGGCCTGTGGGAACGGCAGCCGCGTTCTCCCCGTTCTGCTCCCTCTCCACACAGCGCTGCCCGCGGCCAGGCACCGTTCCCTGGAAAGGAGGGAGGAGCCTGTTTTCCAGAAAAGCCCAGGCTCGCTGCTGTTAGGAGTCGTTCAGGAGGAACGTGCAACATGAGGCATGAGATGCTGATCATGAGAGAAAAGAAAATGAACGAGCAGAATAAAAGGCATCCAGGACTGTCTCGTTCCCGGTGAAATTAACTGACTGATTTTAGCCACGACGGCATCACGTGTCATGGGCCGGAAGAGGCCGTCGTGCTATTCTCCCTCCGTTGTGGAGTCGCTGGGAATTCTCTACGGCGTTCCATGGTTTTTAGTTGCAACAAAACACATCGTTTTAAAAGTGAGTGTGCACATTGCATTTGTAAAAAGACACGTCCTCCCACCTCTAAAAGCATGAGCTGGGGCTGCAACCCCGTCTGTTAGAGGAGCCGGGACTCGGTCCCACACCCCCCTGCACGACGTGGGCCGGACACCCCAGGCCAGGACGGGGCCCCTGGACTCACAGGAGGAAAGTGGGTGAGTGATGTGGGGGTCACACCGGGCAGAGCCAACAGGTCAGCATCACACATGGTTTACGAGCACACATGTACACGGGACAAACATGCACATGGGATACACGGGACCACACAGATGCACACAGGACACACACGACAAACACACATGCACGCGGGACCCACAATGCACGCACGCGGGACCCACGCGCATGCACACAGCAGCCACGCGAGCCACCTAAGCCGTCCTGCTCGCTCTGGGTCCCCAGACGGGGTGTGAGAACTCGGACGGGTCTGGTCTAGCGGAGCGCCGTGCAGACACGTGACTATGACAACAGGCTGGCGTTTCATGAACAGACCTCGCAACAGCCAGTTACCTGGAGGGCCCTGGGTGGGGGTCTTGGGGGGCTCCATGTGGTCTCTGTGCATGGACTTGGGGCGCTGCTTTTTCTGCTTGGCGGTGGGAGGACGGGGCTTGATCACCGTGTCCATGTCCTCCATGAGCTTCAGCTGCTTGCGCCTCAGGTACTCCTGCCGGATGAACTCCCTGCGCGCCCTCTCGTCCTCCTTCTTCTGCCGTTCCTCCTCCGTCTTCCGCCTAAGAAACCAAGCGGCTCCAGTTCTTATCCGGCACCACAGAGAACGGACGCGGGAGGGCAATGGGGGAAGGTGGAATTGCTCTGTGTCAGCAACGTGGGGGAGTGGTCCCTTAAGATATACTTGAGGTAAAATATATATATATATACTTCAGATAATTTAGGTCATTAAAATCTATGTAAATATGCCATTTAAAAAAGTGTGTGTGTGTAAAACCCAGTCAAGTTATTTTATTTTTTAGAGAGAGAGGAAGGGAGAAAGTGAGTGAAACATTGATTTGTGGTTCCACTCATCTATGCATTCATTGGCTGACTCTTGTGTGTGCCCTGACCGGGGGTTGAACCCCAACCACGGTGCATCAGGACGATGCTCTAACCACTGACCCACCCGTCCAGGGCCAGTGAAGTTTAAAATTAATGTGGTTTCTGGAGAACTGTACTCTGATGCCTCCAACTTAGGGTGAAAATACACAAGCAAGTAATCCTTTGGGAAAACAAATCAGCTTCTAAAAATCACCAAAATCAGCATTAATTCAGTTGTCCATACACGATAAGTGTCTAACATCTACTAGTGAAACTCGGTGAGAAGCCAGCCCTCACCTGTCTCCTCCTCACCTGTCCCCTCCTCACCTGTCCCCCCTCACCTGTCCCCTCCTCACCTGGTCCCTCCTCACCTGTCCCTCCTCACCCGTCCCTCCTCACCTGTCCCTCCTCACCTGTCCCTCCCCCCGGCCGCCCTCACCTCGTCTCCTCCTTCCTGTGCTCCATCTCTGCCTCCAGCTGCTGCTTGCGGAGCTGCGTCTCCTTCTCCCGCCGCAGCCGCTTCTCCAGCAGCGCCGCCCGCTTCAGCGCCATGTCGTCCTCTGCCTTCTGGTCGTCCTGAGAATACGTTTCGTTGAAAACAGGGAGAGGCGTTAGGGACCGATTTTCTCAACTTCAATTCTTATAACTGAAAATCGGAAATACTGGCTCAACCTCATTCCCACCCCACCCGTCCATGGAATGTTCCAGGCGTTTGGAGGGAAAAAATGAATGAAAATGCTACATTCTTTCAAGTAACAAAGGACACAGACTTACTTGTTTCTAAACCTGGGAATTTAGCAAAGACCAACCAACCAGGAAAAGGAAAGGAAGGACGGAGTGCGCTTCTTTGGATCCAAATAAATAACTCGAGTGGGGAGGTGTCCCCAGTGTTGAAAGCGGCATGTAAACGGCTTTAAACACACGCTCCACAGAGAACCGCACGTCACAGCCCTGACAGCAGCTCCCAAGGTCACCCCCAAAAGAAAGCGCCTCTGCACTTCCAGGTGGGGGCTCTGGATTAGTGGGGGGCCCTGAGGAAGGGCAGGCTCCACACTGGGGATGGAGCCCACAACCTGGGCATGTACCCTGACCGGGAATCGAATGGTGACCTCCTGGTTCATAGGTTGACGCTCAACCCCTGCGCCACGCCGGCCGGGCTGACAGCTCACGTGTAAGTGAGAGAGGCAGAGGCGCAAGGTCAGCACCTCCAGATGTGCACCGTGACCGTGTGCACCAGGACCGTGTGCACCAGGACCGTGTGCACCAGGACCGTGTGCACCAGGACCGTGTGCACCAGGACCGTGTGCACCAGGACCGTGTGCACCAGGACCGTGTGCACCAGGACCGTGTGCACCAGGACCGTGTGCACCAGGACCGTGTGCACCAGGACCGTGTGCACCAGGACCGTGTGCACCAGGACCGTGTGCACCAGGACCGTGTGCACCAGGACCGTGTGCACCAGGACCGTGTGCACCAGGACCGTGTGCACCGTGACCGTGTGCACCAGGACCGTGTGCACCGGGACCGTGTGCACCGGGACCATGTGCACCGGGACCGTGTGCACCAGGACCGTGTGCACCGTGATCGTGTGCACCGTGATCGTGTGCACCGTGACCGTGTGCACCGTGATCGTGTGCACGAGGACCCATGTGCATCATGACTGTGTGCACCGTGACCGTGTGCACTGTGACCATGTGCATCATGACCGTGAGCACCGTGAAGAGAATGTTCTAGAAATCAGTGGGTTGCGTGTGCTGCAGTGCCCTGGGGGAGCAAGCCTGTGCTGGGACCATGGGGCTGCTCCTGGAAGAAGCATATCCACTAAAGAGCCGCCCACCCCGGCCCCCGCCCCGGCCCGGGCGTACCTTGAAGAAGAACCCGCAGCACACTTTCTGCTCGTCATCGAGCTGCTCTCTGTCACTGTCTCCGTCCTCTTTCTCCACAGACACGTCGGCCTTCTCTGGGGGCTTCAAGTCCGAGAGGGACACCTCAATGAGGCTGACGTTTTT